GGAGATATGTCATAATCTCCGATGCCATAATATAGAGGAGTCATCATTAATATTACACCTTTTAGTACAAGCATGAACATGCATTGAACTTTGGGTGTCATCGTTTTATAAGAAAATATGATAAAAATTATCAGACAAAATATCTTTCCTAACACAATCAGATTTATATAATAAACAACATGATATGTTTTGAAAATTAAAGGAATATCCAACTGATATGAGTCTGGAAACAAAAAATAAGTTTCATGAGAAACTTGGTATATGAAAGGTCCTTTCCAATTTTAAAACAAGACCATTACTTAAAGTTAAAATGCATATTCCAATTGTCTCCACATGTGAGCCCATCTTATTACCTAATAAGATGCTTTGCTCACTTCCTACTAGCTTTCTTAGGTTTTACATACCCTACAAAGAGTTTGCAATATGGATTATTAATCCAGAGTTAATCTACCATGTGTTAATATTAACATTAACCATATTAGATTTATAACATACAAACGAGGTTGATTTACCTTTTTTTTTAAGTTATTGTTAGAATTTCATTTATTCCTTCTTCATGTCCCTTCTTTATATAGAAGAAATACTTTGCTTCTTTCTTGATATCAGCTTGGGGTGATATTTTATCTTTTTCCTATTGATGAGCTTTCTAATTAGCTTGATTTTTGTCAATTTTATTCTTCTCGCGAGTGGTTACCACTAATGTACTCTCACCCAGCTCCATCACTAGCCTCTCTTGTTCTTGAACATAAATGGTCATTAATTCATTGATTGATTATTTATCCTTATGTGTATTGTATGAAATCTTAAAAGGTTCATATTGATGTGGAAGAGTGTTCAGAATATAGTGCACCAGGAAAGATTCTGACATATTAACCTAGAGTTTCTTAAGTTGAACCATAATATCTTACATTTGCATTATATACTCACCCACACACTTTATGTTGGTGAGTTTGAGGGATGAGAATTTCATTATTATGATACTTGCTAATGCCTTTTTCAAAGTGATGAATTACTCATCGGTAACTTGTAGCAAGTCTCAGACCTTCTTATACTGATCAACAAAACTACGTATACCAACAATTAAAAAATAAAAACTCTTTCATATCAAGGCAGAGGTTAATGGCTCAGATACCAACTATTAAAAATTTTAATACCAAAATATGTTTCTAAATCATTATAAGAGAAACACAATAAAACTAATGCAGAAACGAAAATTGCGTACGCCCAGCCATTATTGTGAAGAATTTTAGCAATGGTTTCTTTTTATATTTTGACACTTCTCAACTTAGAACTCTCAACGAAAATTGCGTACGC